TAACCCTCGGGTTGTACTGCTGGTGATGTGTGATCAGATCTGGGAACAGAGGCTGTGAGGTGAAGCACTCAGATTAGGGATCACAGTGGTAGGAGGTGGAGAATGCCTTCTGGTGCTGGAGAGGGTTCTCCAGAGTAGGAATAAATTTATTTTGGAGTATCTTTTCTTGTTTGTTTTACCAGTAAGGAAACTGAGGCTCGTAATGGTGAAGTGACCAATCTGAGTTCACAAAACTAGTTTGTTATGGGTCTGAATAGTAAGAAACCCTGCTGTGCTTCCTGCCACAGGCTTTAGGCCTCTTTAGATGATCCACTACATGCTTGTGCTTACTAAGAACGTATATAGAGTATTGGCTATGAAGTAAAAATATCATTAAGTGCACATTAAAGCTGGGATGGTTGCGTGTGCTTTCAGCTGAGCCTGATAGGGAATGGAACAGTCCAGAGTGTTGAGGAGAACAATGATTTGGGTTAATTCAATGAATGGCAGCAGGAGGCATCTTAGAGTTCAGTCACACCAGCCCCATGTAACCGCGGGGAAATGGAGGCTTTGCATCTGCTTAGGGCTGCTCTGACTCTTCTTCAGTGCCGGTGGTGATGAACATTCAGAATCACGACTTCTGACCCTTCAAGTCAGTGGCTGTTGCCATGAAGTTACCCGCCTTGTTTCTGCAGCACTGCATTAACTTTGATGACTTGATTGATAGCTTTTTCTCTTAACATCCGAAGAGCTAGATGCTGAGCCATGAGTCACAGCTACACAGTGAAGAGAATGGAACCAAACTGGATCATTTCCAGTGCAGATATCCAGGGTGACTCGTCTTAGTTTAGAAGTTCCTCATGGGCAGAAACTTATAAGCTTTCAGCACAAAACAGAACCTGAATCTCATTAGCTATTCAGTATATGTGTATTGAATGAGTGATCTAATGCCAAAGGTGATTTATTTTATTTTATTTTATTTTATTTTATTTTATTTTATTTTATTTTATTTTATTTTGTAAAGGATCTCACTTGAACTCAAAGTGATCCTCAGCCTCTCCAGTGCTGGGATTACAGGTGTGTGCCACCACACCAATTTCAGAGCTGGCATGTGGTACTGAGGATTCAACCCAGGTCCCTGTGCTTGCCAGGCAGGTACTTAGACCTATCTCCCAGCCCAAGGTGATTTTTTAATTATGTTCTTTCATTTTAAAGTAAGTTTATGCAGGATGAATTTTCAGGACCTTACTCTGCCCATAAGTAGGCATGCACTAAGGGTCACACGGTTCTCACTCTTTTTAATGAGAAGCAGCAGAGGGGGCTGTCAGCTGACAAAGGAAGGATAAGATGTGAGTGCTACAGCATGCTGATCTGAATGTGACCCCTTGCTGGAATGCCAAAAATATAAGCTTTCCAAGTGTGTTGGCCCAGTGACCTCCATATACAAAGGTCTTTTCTCTAGAAAAAAGCCATCTTCTCTTTGTTTCTGATCTGACGTAAATAGGCTCACACAAATTCCCCTTTCTGAATCTCTGTGAAGGTGCAAGACTCTGTGTTGCTTTTGGCATAACTGTAAGTGACCGTCTGTTGAAGTCTAACCTGCTGGCTTCAAAACACCAATTTGAAGTACTTAACAAAAGTTCTTCTTGCAGAAATACAGATAGGAGGTTTCTTTGAGTTTATTCTTGCGAGCTGCGTACTGTACTGTGAAAACCTCTGGACAAGCAGATTATTGAAAAACCCATGACATTGTCCTTCATCTGATGATTAGATCTTTCAAAGAGATCACAAGACATCTTTTTGAAAAAAGCCTAGAGGGCTTTGGGGTTCTGAATGATCACAGAGAGCTCCCCCATCCTGTCTTTCTGAAATGTCAAGGTTCACTCCGAATGGCATCAAAGGAGATCACTGTTTGCATAAAGAATTTACAAGAAAGGAAAAAAGATAAAACTCATTTGGGAAAAGTGAAAGTTCATCTCTGGGTTCTGTGTCATGTGAAGAGTGTTTTACCCCTTTCTCTCACCGGCTAGATGGCAGCGGGCAGTTTTACAAATGTGCAAACTGTGTAAGAAATGCTTTTGGACTGTCACGTGCTGCTACGGACAGAAATATTCTCTTCTCTGGTAGCACCGTAAGGACAGAGGTGTACGGCTAGACTGGCATGGCTGGCTTTTATCCACCTAGTGCTTAGGGTTTCTTTACCTCTGCAAGGCCAGTGCCAATGTTGGTGACATTGTGAACATAATCAACAGAACAATTTGTGAAGTTATGTTAAAATTCACTGTCACAAAGCCTTGTGCTCAGAATATGTGTATCCGGGGGCTGGTGGTAGAGCTCCGCAGTCTAAGCGCCTGCTTGGCAAGTGCACGGTCCTGGCTCCCATTGCTGGTACTGAAAAAAGTAAAATGAGATTGTATATCCTTAGAGGTATAGTGACCTACATTTTTAAAAATATTACCCAGTTTGGGTATTCTGTTTCTTTTTCTAAGAAAAGTAACACACACACAACTCTATTTTAATTTATACAATTTCATAAGACTCTTAACATCCATACATTTCCAGATCAGAATTAGAAACTTTTGTCTGGTTACATACTTCTGAGTTTTGTATTAAAAAATATGAACCCAGGGCTGGAGAGATGGCTCAGTGGTCTAAAGCACCTA